TAGATTAATTTCAACCCCAACTACAATCTCTAAAAAGAATAACTAGACAATCTTCTTTTTCACATCCAACTTACAAATAGGAAAATTATTTCTATAACACAAAACAACCTTTTGTTCAAAGTTACTTTATTTTTCAAAAATCTCCTGGTATTATAATCCTTCAATCTTCTTCACAAATATTCACAATTCTCTTTGTATCTATAGTCAACTTTTGTTATAAAAATCAAAAACAAAAACAGACCTACAAACTTTCAATCGATTACCAAGAAATATTATCACTATTACAAATTTCTCCCTTCTTACACCAATCTATTACTTCAGAAAATATATATATTCAAATACAAAACTCAAATATTAAACTCATAATAAACTCTATTACTACCCCAGCATATCAAACAGAACTCATTAATATCTATTAATAAATATAACTAATTCCACTAGAAAATCTTCACTTTTACATAGATGCATTAATTAAAAATACTCAATTACCAAATCTTCAAACTGGGATCGGCTGGATCTTAGAAAATAACACCAAAATTAAATTTTCTGCTAACATTATAAATGCTTCTAATATCACAAGAGCTGAACTAGCACTAATTATATCTATACTTCTCTCTTTATCACAAAATCTACATATATATATTCACTGTGATAATTCTTCTATAATTCAAACTTTTAAAAACCTACCTTACTACTACTTTACACAAATCAAAACTGGAAATTGGGACTACTTATATATTATTAACAATCTTCTTCAAAAGAAATATATATATATATATATTTTTTTTTTTCACTTAAGCCATCTTGCCTTTAGTCTTCTTTATTACTTTACAATTATATGGTATTACAAAAGGCTTTTGCATAATATTTAGGAGTGGTATCCTGCAGTTACTTCGAGAGCACTTACAAGCGATCAGCCGCACTGAGCAGATACATCTCTATGAATATATCATGATAAGTTTCAAAATAGAAACACTATCTCTCTCAGACAAACACTATCAGACCACTGTCCTACAATAGAATATCGCCAATCTGATGACATCTTCTCATAGGGAAGTGGAAAGGAAAAAAAATTTTTACTAATACTAATACTAATACTAAAGTAGAGATACTAAAAAAAAGAAACTAAAACTAAAAAACAAATACAAAGACAAAAGGGGAAGAAAAAGAAAAGAGAATCTGATAGATCACAGTTATAGGCTTGTGTCGGGCTTTAAAAATTACATATTAATAGGTAAAGAAGCTCTGTATCTAACTCTATCCTAATAATATATGTATAGTAAAAAAAAAACATAAAAAAAAAGACAGCTAAATAAAACAAAGTAGCCCAAAATATAAAAGTCTTGAAGTATTATCAAATGGTTTTTCCGGTCGAGGCACATATACCATTTGTGTTGTCATACAGTCTGTACATGGTTGCTTAATCTGGACGTCTGCCTGATATTCTATTATGGAAGTCCTATTCATTTCTAGACAGGTAAACAATACTGACTTGTTTTGGAAAATTATGTGTTGATCTTTTAGAAGGAGTAAGCTAAAACACCTACTTTTTGACAATATTTTCTTGAAAAAAGTGGTGGGCCAATGAAACTTTTCTGTGGTTGTTTCTTGTAAGTTTTATGGTTGTATAGATATACCTTAAGCTTGTAATACTTCTAGTATCATCCTAGACATTCTGTGTTTCCAAAATATCCTTAAGGTTTGGATGCCAAATAGGCAGAGGAGTCCGCCAAAAAAAGAGTTTAACCTCTATCAAAACCAGTCCAAAGTAGACCGCTTCTCAGTTTTACACTCTTGGTACTTTGTCAACAACACACCTACTTCTGTAAGACCAAGTTTATTATTTATTTAAGCATCTTCTATAGCACTAACCATAGTTTAGTTTTTTGTTTTTTGTTGACCAGATGATCGTCAGAAAGAGTTGTATAAGGCAAATATCAAAAGAAAAATATATCTCTTACTATATATAAAGTTAAAGCATACTCAAAAATGCTTTAAATCGAAATGCAGACATTCTTGCAAAAAGAGGCACAAACAGATGATCTATTGAACTGAATTTAGATTATCTTATAACATTTCCTTTCTTTTCATGGTACAATATTCCACATACTTTACAAATTCATAAATTTACTAAAAATTTAATTTTTATTGAAACTTTTGACAAATTTCTCTAACTCAAAAACATTTATAATATTTCTCAATTCAATATTAAAACTTTTACAATTATTATTAACTCCTGTAACTACAAACCCAACTTATTCTCTCTACGTATTAAAATACTACTAAACAATCTACCTACAATATCCAATCTTCGCCTCTGTTATTCTTATCTTTACTTAATCCCTAACTGTACTCATTATAATCAATTTGAAAATACCTTATATTTATTAAACTATCACCAAGCACTTTTTGATCCATATTCAATACTTAACCAATTTACAATCCAAATAATAACTGAACTCAAAATTGACAACACAAACTCAGCAACAATTACAAATATACTATTTAACTCAAATACTCATAACACACCCTCTCAAAACTTCCTCTTCCTTATACAAGAAACAATCTTTTTCTGTATTACTGACTAACTACAATCTATCCTTATTAAAAATACTATCAACTTTTGTCTTCTTCTCTCTAATAATCTCCTTTCTTGGTTTAATTTAAATATTTGGCAAATCAGAAATCGATTCCAACATGACTGGGAAACTTCAAGAAATATTAAAGCCAAATCTAAACGAATTAAATTTTCTTTACCAAATACTATTATTAGAACTCCTATAACAACAATCTATAATCACAATATTGATTCATTTATTCAAAAATGGCAAAATCAAAACTTTTCTATTTACTCATGTTTTATTAATCTTATACTTTAACTACTGGGCTTCCTTTTTTTCCTTCTATAACTAATGATAGCTAGTCTTAAATTAGTTTATAAATAGAAAATTAAGAGGTGATTTGCTACACTTAGGTGATTATACAAGAGTTTAAAATTAATATTATCTTGATACAAATCTGTAACTAATCTTATCATGTATACAGCAAATTTAAAAAAAAAAAAAAAAAAAAATACTTATTCTTAATTAATTTACTATTCTTTAAGTATTTTATTCTAATAAAATAGAATTTAATAGATTTTATTAAAAGGAACAACCTTTATTATTATAGTTTTTATGATTTTATTGTAAAAATTTGAACTTGTATTAGAAGTAAAAAATTTTATAGCTTTGGAAACATATAAATTTTATAAAATTTAAACTAAATTTAATATTAGAATTTTTTAAATTTAAATTTTAAATTTAATTATTTAAAAACTATTTAATAAAAATTAAAAAAAAATTGTTAATAAAGTTAATAGAATATATATTATAAAATATTTTTTATGAGAATTATAAACCCTATATTATTAATAATTTTTTGAGTAATTTAAAAAATTATAAATTTTTAGTCGAATTTGGGGCAAATTTGCCCCGAATACAGTTTAAGGGATAATAATTTTGACCAGAATCATAATAGCTAAATTTTAAATTTATTATTAATAAAAATAGTTAACTTTTAAAACTTTATAAAAATAATAAACTTAATAATTAAAATCAAATTTTATAACTTTACTCTTAGTCTTTCTCTACATTTTTATAAAAAGAAAATTCTTTTAGCTATACCAGTTATTTTTTTATAACAATTTAATTATCTATTTTACGTGTTGATTTAAGGACTCCCGCACTAGTACAGTCAACTCCCGCTATAGAGTCACGTTGTTTGGCAAAAATTTGATATAACTATATATAGCAAGAACTATAAATTTTATCATAACTATAAATGATTGGCATATAGCCTTAAAAAATTGACTATTGCGAGTGTGACTATTGCGAAAGTTAACTATATTATTTATTTAACCAATAAACAAATTTTGTATTTAGTATTTTTTTAAAATAGTATTTTCAATTATAAATTAGATTTACAAAACTTATAATTTTTGAAATTTATATTTTTTGGTTTAATTTAAAAATTTTTAACAAATTTAATTAAATTTATATTTTAAAACTAATACTGTTTTGAATTAAAATATAAACAATTTTTTGATAATTATTATATACAGTACATATTAAAAATCATAATATTAAATAAAAATTATTTGAGATATTTAAAATATATACTATATTTTAGTAATATATATATTTTACAATATACGTGTGTACTATAAAATTTAACCCAGAGTAGCATACTCTAGCATAAATTATAAATATAATCTGAAATGATAACTTCAAGCACGATGTGATTTTAATGTTTACTCTGACATAGTATAATTTTCACCATTCTAAATTACTCTATTAACAACTAAATATAACTTAACACGTAATTCAGATTGCAATGCTTAGATCTTTTCATATTAATTTGAATTACTGCCAGATCGAAGCCCTTGTCATATTATCGTTATACTGTATATGTTCTTTATTTCAATTGTGGCGATGATCTAGAATTTTGAAGTTTCATGTATTATTTATTAATAGATTTTAAGATTAGTTAAATTATATATAATAAAAATAAAAAAAGCAAAAAAACAAATTATAAATATAACATGTAACATAAATTTTTTTTATTTATTTTATACGTATTTTTATAATAATAATAGGAATTTGTTTGGTGCATGGCGCATTCGGTGCATCATTGAGTGGGCAAATCAGATAGCACGATCATGTGTGTAACGTGAAGATGTTGATAAGAAATTCTTCATAAAAGTTGAAATTTCGCCTAAGAACCACCTTTTGCGTTCTAACAAAAAATATTTCCCGCAAAATTTGGTATAACCTTCCTTTACTAACTCTAAAGCTAACCTTAACCTGACCCTAACCCAAACCCGACGACAGTAAAAATAGGATGCACTAAATGCAACGATGCACTATTTAAATTTTTCCATAATAATAATTCAAGGTCATGCTTCTTAGTTGTATCAATAACCGACGACATCATTTATCTCACCACCAAAGTTTTAATACTTACTGATCATCATAATCGGTTACATCATCATAGTCTTCATCTTGTACAAAAAGACGTTCGGATGGATTACGTGGTTTATTTAAAGAAGAAATTTGTGAGTCATCGTCATGAGGTGTAGCCTCTCGACTTTTAGTTGATGATTCGGCCGAAGAACTGTCATGCATCATAGTTCTAGATGAGTCAGTATATTCCCGACTATCATTGTCATCTTCATCTTCAATAGTGAAGAAAATGTTTTTACTATTAGCAGAGGCTTGTTCTGGTGTTATTAATCCTTTAGCAAGAGCTGCCTGTGTGGCCGCCTCACGTTTTCTTTCAATTTCTTCCTCTTCTTGACGACGAGCTTCTTCTTCTTCAGCTGCCAACTGAGCATCAGTGGCAGGATGACATTTGACCTAATATGAAAGACCAATTATATAATATCAGATATGGTGTGCTCATGGATGTGATTATAAATCAATCGTACAAAAAAATTTCTAGTCTTCTCGGGAATCGCTAAATCGTTTTTGGTTTGATAATTTATTAATTAATATAAAAGTATATTTACACGTTCAGAAAACTTATCAATTTGTTCGTCAGGTAGAAATTGTGCGTCTTGAGTTTGCAAATTTTCGCCGTCGTCATCTAATAAAGCATCTTCGTTCGGTACAGTCATGTTCGCTCTCCTCGAATATGCTGGTGGGTAATTCGAGCGTGAAAATGGTGCACCTGATAAAAGGTTTGCTAATGACGAGCGATCCTGATAAACCAGCAGGTTCTCGAACTCTACATTATCTTCGTCATCATAGAAATTGCCAAATGGTGATAGTGAATTACCGCGGAAACGAAAGCAAGGGCATGTTTTATTAAAGCAAGACCACATTTTGAATATTCTTAAAATTTTTAGAGCTTAAAAATCGTACTTAAATCGTTCTTATATAAGGGGTATGTAAAGGAAGATATATTTATGTATTTAGGCGAAGCTTTAATGCAATCTAACGAGTATACAGTACAAAAGTAGCATGTGGAAAACAGAAAAAATATAATGAGATTGGTTAGCTTTTATTTCTGTATCAGAATAGGGTACATAATAACATGTGAGTTACATCATCCTATCAACAAATAGAATGACCACATGAGATGAATTTTAAAAATGATTGATTGATAATAAAGATCGTTTCCATCATGCTAGAAACAATTCAAAGTATGACGGCTTACTCTTTATGTACTTTTCCGTCCAGTTATAAATAAATTTTATTGTATTCAAAAAAATATTTACTGGCCAACATTTATAAAGATCAACGATGCTTCCGGCCTAGCACCAGAGGCCGATCATCGACAAATAAAATCCGGTTTTGGAGTTTTTTTTTTTTTGCTTTTTCGTCGTTGCTTTGGGCATTTCTTGTTGGTTGTCTGAAGTGTTATCATTTACTCGGACGTTAATTAGTGCATTCTTTAGATGCTTTCGTTATTCGATTATTATTTTTCAGCGCGTTTTATTAGAATCAAGAACGGAAAACGTTAAGTAGACGTTGGATTCAAGAATGGGATTAAAAAACTTTTAAGTCTGAATATATTATAAAAAAAGTTTTGCCACCGGCTAGAATGTAGCCAACCAATCAGATAAATCGAAAAGAATGTGCGGGTTATCTTCGAGGTTAAGTGTCAAGCGGTGCAAATTCAGCAAGAAATCTTTTTTGTTAGGACACAAAAGGCAATTTCAGTAACAGATAGTTTGAGCCGTTTAAGGGTAGGCTGGACTGAAATTAACCAATTTTGCCTAAGATCACTCGAGTTTATGAAGTCATTGCTTGTTCATTAAATAAATATAGTTTTACCGTATACAGAGCACAAAATAATGTCGGTAATTTCCGTTTAATTAAGGGAAATACCGTTGATTACGTATTTTTGAAGGGAAATTTGCAGTCTACGCGTCTATATTGATTTTATCGCCGAAGAGTCTGGTCTTCTAATAAAAAAAAAAAAAAATTATGTAATAAGCGGCACACTCTAAACAATATATATACTATATTTTATTTTTAGTTGTAGCTTACCAAGTTACATCGCATGGAAATTATGTGTTAGCTAGGGTTGGAACACTCCGTTGACTCCATTTTAATAATACCTTAGTGTTAGCCGCGAATTTACTATCTGCTATTGGCCAACGGTCATGTGATGAAAATTTATCGGGGTTCGTTTTAGAACCAGCTTAGGTATACTTGTTGGCAAAACCCAAACCTCAAAAATACAATTGATATTTATAAAAAATTGAATCAAAAAAGTAACTTAAAATTTTGCAAATATATTATAGCTATAAAATATATATCTAATTTTTAAATAAAAATTATTAATAACGTTTTTAAGATACGATTTGGACAGAGTTTGGGATTTTGCTAACATGTATACAGCTTCGGTGTCTTAAGCAGAGGCTCTATACTTCACTTTAAGGGTAGGGTGTACAAATTTCCAATTTCATATAAAATAGATTGTAGATCAACTTTGTGTAACGAATTTTATAT